CCCTGGAGTGGAAGGAGGGGAGAATCTGGCCTTTTCTCCCCACAACTCCCAAGTCCCAAACACCTGCTGCATGGCCCCCAGACACACCTGGAGCCCCTGGACCTGGCCTGCATGTCTGGGCATTTCTTCAGTGATCACATTCCCTTATCCCACCATCTAGTCCAGGGATGGGGAACCTCAGGCCCAGGGACTGGATGTGGCCCCTGGCTTGCCTGGATCTGGCCCCCAAAGGTTTGGGCTTTTTTTTCTTTGCTTCTCACTTGTGTGCAGCCCTCAACTGATTTTTCTGTGGGTCAGTGACCCCCAACCCATGGCCTAGTCACTTGCGCAACACCACGGGAAAATGATGCATACACATCATAGTCAGAGAAAACATTACTGACATTCCTCCTTCATCACAGTGGGCCTCCCACCCCACAACCCAGAAATCCGCCCCTAAGGCTGTGTCATCCTGCCCCCAGCAGCTACCCCATTTCACCTCATGTGACCTTCCCTCCAGGGCAGAAAAGGAGAGCTGGATCCGGGCCAAGTACGTGGAGAAGAAATTTATTACCAAGCTTCCGGAGGCGCGGCTAAGCCGGGTGGGGCGCTGGGGCCCCCATAACCGGGATCGCCCCCCCAAACCTGCCCTCAAACCCAAACCGGGTGGCATCAGTCGAGCTGCAGGTACCAGAATTGTTGCCTTGGGAGGGAGTAAGGATTCTTGCAGGGGAGGTGCTGTGGGGGGAATTTAAGGGGAGATCTGTGATAACCCAGCCCCTTCATTGCCTCCTGCAGGTGGCACCGGCAGCCTGGCCTACAACAGCAGAATCCCAGGTAGGATGTGGGGGAGAGGAGGGCAGATGTGTAGCTGGGGGCAGGGTATTGGGGTGAGGGATGTGTCCTAATGTTTGTGGAGAGGCTTGGAGGGTTACACTGGCTGGGTGATGGGGGGATAAATGGCCATTGGAGGTGCAGCTGGGGGGGATGTGTGATCATGGGTAGGCAGCTGGGGGGGGGGGGGGGGGGGGGGGGCACGAGCGA